GGGTCTACCTCGTCTCTTTGGGGTCTACCTCATCTCTTTTGGGGTCTACCTCGTGTCTTTGGGGTCTACCTCGTCTCTTTGGGGTCTACCTCATCTCTTTTGGGGTCTACCTCGTGTCTTTGGGGTCTACCTCGTCTCTTTTGGGGTCTACCTCATCTCTTTGGGATCTACCTCTTGTTTTTTGGGATCTACCTCTCTTTTTTTGGGGTTTACTCCGTCATTTTTTGTAGTCTACTACGTTGTTTTTGGGATCTACCTCCTCATCTTCTGAGGTCTACCTCCTCATGTTTTGGGGTGTACCCCCTTGTTTTTTGGGGTCTATCTCCTTGTCTTTTGGGGTCCACCCCGTCATCTTTTTGGGGTCTACCCCTTCATTTTTTGGGGTCTATCTCAGTTTTGGGATCTACCTTCTTGGGTTTTTTGGGTCTACCCCTTCGTTTTTTGGGGTCTTCTCCCTTATTTTTTTGAATCTGCCTCCTCATCTTTTTCGGGTTTACTCCTTCTTTTTTTGGGATCTCCCCCCTCGTTTTTGGGGTCTTCTCCCTCATGTTTTGGGCTCTCCCCCTCTTTTTTAGGGGTCTGCCTCCTTGTCTTTTGAAGTCTACTCCTTCATCTTTTTGGGCTCTCCCCCCTCGTTTTTGGGGTGTTCTCCCTTGTGTTTTGGGCTCTCCCCCCTCATTTTTGGGGGTCTACCTCCTTGTCTTTTGAAGTCTCCCCCCCTCGTGTTTTGGGGCTCTCCCCCCCTCGTGTTTTGGGGCTCTCCCCCCCTGTTTTTTGGGGTCTTCTCCCTTGGTTTTTGGGGTCTTCTCCCTTGGTTTTTGGGGTCTTCTCCCTTGGTTTTTGGGGTCTTCTCCCTTGGTTTTTGGGGTCTTCTCCCTTGGTTTTTGGGGTCTTCTCCCTTGGTTTTTGGGGTCTTCTCCCTTGGTTTTTGGGGTCTTCTCCCTTGGTTTTTGGGGTCTTCTCCCTTGGTTTTTGGGGTCTTCTCCCTTGGTTTTTTTTTGGGGCTCTCCCCCTCGTTTTTTGGGGTCTTCTCCCTCGTGTTTTGGGGTCTTCTCCCTTGTTTTTTGGGATCTTCTCCCTTGTTTTTTGGGGTCTTCTCCCTTGTTTTTGGACTCTCCCCCTCGTGTTTTGGGGTCTTCTCCCT